GTGTGTGTGTGTGTGTGTGTGTGTGTGTGTGTGTGTGTGTGTGTGTGATGGCATTATTCTTACACTTTGGTACGTGCATTTTACATTCGTGAATAAAATGGGCTTCTGATTTTGTTCTTGTTTGGTTGCGTTTTGCCAGAAGGACAGACAGATAAAGTTCTGGGGATAGATTTAGGCAGAAGTCACTCATGATTTCAGCCAGCTAATTTTATACTGGGAATCCCATTATCTCCCTGAATTTTTGTGTGTTTGTTTGTTTAATGCATAGGAGAAATTTCAACTTGTGTGTGTGTGTGGGGGGGGGTGTTGTAGGTGTGTGGGACTTTTTTTCTTTACCCTAGAATCTAAGAGAAACACATGATCTTTGAGAAATCCAGCCAACTGTTTTCATTCCATTTTGTTCTCCGACTTGAACCCTTTTGCATTTATAGAGACAAGTATAGAAAGAAGTTTTGTGTTAGGTTTTATCTAAGCTACCCTTATACATTGTCGTCCTTTGGTGTCTATGATCCTTTCAAGTCGCTGGGTTGTCTTTTGTTTGTTTGCAGGCAAAGCATAAAATTGTGCTTTTGTGTTTAAAATTATCTATACTTTTATTATTGAAGTATTATCTTTATCTGGTCTTTTAATTAACCTCAATGGTTATATTTTCTCTTTAAGGAAACATTTTCCTGTTCACATTTGAGAAGTTTAATTCCCAGATTTAAGTTTCTCAACCATTTATTCCCTCTTCTATATCTTGCTATGTATTATTCCTTCATTGCAGGCTAAGCTTGTCCCGTTCTAGTTAGTAGTCGAGATGATGTCCACATTAAACTACTCCCTTTCCTCTCCCCCTGCTAGCAAATCAAACATTAGCACTTCAGCCGCATATGTCAACAAACTTTCTATTGACCTGTGACACATGACTGAGATTGGTGTTTCGATTCGATAAGCATATTAGTGCTTGCTAAAATCAAAAAAAGCAGACCCAGAACACCACTTAAAAACGAAAAATAGAATAAGACAGAAAAAATGGAACCAAATCCTTCCCATTTAATTCTCTACACAAAGATAAAATTGCTTTAAGATCCTCAACCCCATGCTTTGGAAATTGAGTGTATGCTTTTAATCCCAGCACTCTGGAGGCAGAGGTAGGTAGATCTCCCTGAGTTCAAGGCCAGTCTAATCAACAGAGTGAGCTCTCAGACAGCTAGAACTACACAGAGCAACACTGTCTCAAAAACAAAACAAAATAAAGAAAAAACAAAACAAAACCAACCAACAAAGAAATTAGGGTGCTCAGATTTCAGGATGCCTTATCATTCTGTTATGATATAGTAGGCAGAATCATTTTCTTTGAGTCTTATACTTGATACAAGGTCCACCTTAGATTGACGGACAGTCCTTGTTTATCATGGGTCACAATGAGACACTTCTAAAGGCAGCTGACCTGGACAGTTTGAGATTTGATTCCTACAAATGTTACCTTGATTATCTGTGTAATGCTTCCTCAGTCCTTTCCACTCTCTCTTGTTTCTAAAGCTGATGCGCAGGTTTTCTTAGGTCACTGTGAGACATGGAATCGCGATTTCTGTCTATCATGGCTATATGGAAATCACACGTATAATCCCCAAAGGCAGTCGCGCTCCCATTACCTCATTTTTTTTGTCTTGCTAGTTCTGTCTAGGTATTATTTGATTAATAACAAACTTTTGATAGTTAGTATTAATGTATTGCTATGACAAAGATAATTTTAACAAAATTGTGACTTTATAAAATGTACCACACAGGGTAAGAAAAGGATCCTGCAGTAAGTATCTCCAATATTCTTTTGACTGAAGGAAGAATCACCTGTGATGTGGAGGTGAAGAATCCCAAGCCACCCAACATATTATGTTTACATTTGAAATTACTCACACATCAAAAATAGCTTATAGGTTTTTCTCATCACTGAATAAATTCGTTATGGATGTATTTTAATTGATGGAATTATTATAATCAGGTATTTTTTAAGCGGCTTTGTACTTGGTCACAAAAATTTAGCTAATGTTTACTAAATGGATTTTTTACATATATAAATTTACTTAGAAACAGTGCAGTGTAAAATATATATTCTTGCCTTTAGAAGCTTGCATCATAATTTTGCTGAAAAACATTCCAAATGTTTAAAATATGTTTGCATGGCCAAACCCAGGTATGTTTTTTCATGTGTGGTGTTTACTGAAATGTTGAAAGATTACCTCTCCTCGTTCCCCTCCAGTATTGCAATGAAGGGTTAATTACCACGAAGTCAGCCTTTTGTTGGTGATGAGAAGGTGCATTATTTGGCCAAATTCCCTACTCCTAATGTAGGAGAACTACCAAGCAAATAAATTTGTTTTATTTATAAAAGATTGGGTTTTAGTAAATTGATGTATATGGACTTAGTTTAACAGAAATAGCACCTATTGTTCTCCCAGGATTCAGAGATGTAATTTATACAGAATTAAAGAATCCTCTTAGAAACAACATGGATTGCATAGCATGTTATATATTTTCAAGTGTTTATTTTCTATGTAATTCATAATTCTCTCAAAATCTCTTTATTGAGTTTCTAATGGGTTATTGGCCAATGCTAAGGGAGAAAAATAGAACTTTCTGCCTCATCTTAACAGATGTACTTAGAGATATGAAGTCCAAGGAATATGTGACCCATTATTGCAAGTCTGGGGTTTGAGGGACTACTTGATAGGGAATGGGAATGGTATTTAGAAGCTGGGGGCAGCCTTACACTAATTGCCAGCAAGAAAACACTGACCATTGAAGTCGGACTTTCTTTTCGGCCTCCAGCCCCAAATAATGAGATGGAGACTTACTATTAATTCTGAAAGTCTGTCCACTTTCTTAGGCTTTTTCCCAAATAGCTCTTATAACTTAAGTTAACCTATTAATCTACATTTTACCACGTGGAATTTTACCTCTCTTTAATTCTGTAAGTCTGACTTCCTGAGTGTCTCGCTGGCATATCTCCACCTCTTTTCCTCCCAGAATTCCTCTCTCTCCTCCAAAATCTCTTTGGAGATTCTCTTCTGCCTAGC